CTTTATCAAACCCCCTTTACACATTTGCATGGTCCTGGGTTGTCCCTACTAACCAATACATACCTGCTCTTCCTACTCTGTGTCCGACATCTGCTATGTGTCAGACAATTGGCATTTCCCATTTCACCTTCCCTGCACTCCTCTGAGACTTGCTTTGTATTTTCACTTCATGGGTGAACAAAGGCTCAGGAAAAATAACAATAGTGGCCAAGATTAGACAGCACATAAACCAAGAAGCTGGGATACAATATCCTTTCCTTGCACTCTAGAGGCCGGCTGCCTCCCTCTTGTCTTCAGACCGCCTGAGTTTGTATCTTGATTTTGTTATTTACTTTCTCAACCTCATCTATAAAATAAGCACATTAACTGTGTAGTTCTTTAGAGATGTGGTGAGGATTCCTTCAGATAGAGCCTGTAACCTGCTCAGTTGGAGTAAGCCTCAATAAATGCCATGGCTGGTTTTTATTTTTATGTTCAGTTGTCCCCTTCTCTTTCTACACCTGCTCCCTGGGCAGGTTGCCATATTCATACTACTCTGTCTAGCCCAGACCAGAGTTTTCTGCCAAGCATGAAGTTCATGTTTCCAAACAGTAGATGGATCTCCTCCTTTGTATACTTCACATGTCACAAACTCACAGCAGGGGTCATCTGTATCTGCCCCCAAACTGACTTCTCTTAGGCTGGTGACAGACAGGGGTGAGCTGAGTCATAAACATGGACTTTATCATTGACTTCTCAATTCCACTGTTTCTGCACGTTGAATTAGTCACCTAATGTTAGCTGTTATACCATCTCTAAATCATCCAGGCTCTCCTGGGTGTTCCCAAATGTCATTGCTGACACCCTTCTCTTAAAATTTTGCTTTTCAGCTCAACATGACTTTTTGTATAAATATTGGCTTTTAAAGTACTGCATTGAAATAACATTAATCTTGACTACTGAAAATTTGGCATTTCCTATGTTTTACATTTAGGACGAATGCCTCACTTGCCTCACTCTAGTTTCTGCCCTGCTGCCAGTTCTCTCAATACAATGTCAATAGTTATCTTGTCAGAGAGAAATTTTTAAGATGGCGTAACTTACAACACCTCCTTGCGTTAATGCCTTCAGTGGCTCCCTGCACCTGGCAACTTTATCCCACCTTCATCTCTCCCAAGGACCCTATGACCCAGGGGCAGGAAGCCATGCCCTTTCTCTAAAGGTGGTCCACATTTACTGTCTGCCTTAACCAACATAACAAATGACACTGTGGCCATCTCCTGGTTACCTAAATGGTTAGGAACCAGTTATACTTGCAAATAGTTGAGTATTCATACTTTCACTCATAAAACTTAAATTCCAACTAGATTGTGTTAAAATCCACCTAAAATTTATTATACATCCCTTCAATCTTTCCTTTAATATAGTCACAGCTGAAAATGTTCATGAAGGCTAAAGCTCATCATTCCAAGTTTGGTTATATGGTAGTACTTTGCTCTTATCCAGCAATGCCAACCTCGGGCTATTTTGAGATGTGTAAGTCAACTCTATGAGCTAAATACGTCTTTACCAAAATTCATATGTTGACATCTTCTCTCCCAAGCGATGATGTTAGGGGAGAAGCATCTATGGGAAAACCTGCCTCAGGAATGGAATTATTCTTTATAAAATATACTCAAGGAAGCTCGCAACCACACAGTAACATCATTTATGAACCAGAAGGCAGACCCTCACCAGTTCCAGATATGCAGATTCAAATTGCCTTGATCTTTGACCTGCCCACTTCCTGAATTGTAAGCAGAAAATTCCCACCGTTAAGAACAACACAGTCTAACTGCAGAATTTTGTTTTGGTAATCCACATTACAGACGGACATAGAAAGTTTGCCCCTAAACTCAGTGTTCATAGATAATTCATTCTTTTCCTTATTTTGTTACCTTCCTCCAGTCAGTATATCTACTTGTCCCTCCTGAACTCTGCTGTAGACTGTTGGACTTCTTACCATCCATCCTTAATCACTTCACTTTGTTACAATTCACTTGTCCACATCACTCCAGCTTCAGGTTTGCTCTCTTGCATGTTCTCATCAACTCCCCCATCCCAGTATTTTGCAAGTGTCCTCAGAGATTAACAATCCCAACCTGAGCCAGCCTATGACTATACCTTTCTGTGTGTGCTCCTCCTAACTGACTTATCCATTTTATTTCTTGGTCTTTGTATATTTATCTTTTCTCATCTCTGTTGAGTTCTGAGCTTGCCATTGTTCTGGTGGCTGGGAAGTGCTGCGCAGATGTCTAATTAGACAGTATAATCTAGAGATAGTTTACATCTATCTCTGATGTGGCAAGCCTCCACAGCAGGGATCATGGGCAGGGGTTAATCAAGAATTCCAACCTGAAGCAACTGAACACTTGACTTAGTTCTCATGCTCTGTCCCAGTGCACATCACAAAGCACTAATCCCCAGCTTTTTAGGTCAAGTGAGATGAAGGGAACATGTACTGCTGAAGGGTCTTTGGTTACTGAGGGCGACAGTGAGTCCCAAGTCTCAACAAATTTACTTGGTGCTTTTTTGTTTCCTCTTTAAATGGGAAAAAGCAGTAATTGCTTCAACTTCTAGTTGCCCACTAAAGTAGAAATTTGTGTACCCCAACGAGAGCTCTGCTGAGTGACAGTATGCAAATACCCTAGAGAATGAAGCAGGGGAACACTAATAAGTGTAAAAATTCCACATGTTCTCCAAATAACTGAGCCTGAGACGGAAATTGCTCAGAGCAAAATTTTAACAGAGCTCTATTTCTGACGCGTGAGATACTTTAAAAAAACAAAACTGGCATAAAATAGAACCTATAATCTATTGTTTGCTCATTTTTCTGTCCATTTGCTACTCCTTGAAAATATGGGAAAAAAAGATCAGATAAGAAAACATACCGCATTTTGGATATTTTTTCAGGCGAATTTCTTGTGATGGTCTCAACAGTACCTCCTATCTCTCTGCTTCTGTGTCCTTGGAGAGAAATGTGCAATAATGAAAACAGGATGGGCTTGAGTCACCTTAGTGTTGGGAGCCTGAGAAAGAGTTACTGACGCTCATGCATTGCATAGTGTTCCTCTGAGGCGCCAGTGAGGGAATGGGCAGAGGGCTCTCAATGCACGCCTGCTGCACAGGGGAACATCCCCTCTTCTACACTTTCTATTGGGGTTACAGCAAGGCGTCATAGTCTTTACCCCCATTCTGTGAATGCAGTTTAGGGGGAAAAAATCTCCCCACCATGAAAATAGCCCATAGGAAAAATATATATACTAAGATCTGAACTTTAGTGAACAAAGACTTGGCCAAGTTTCTTGGGATAACTTTTTTGAAAAATCTCACTGGTTTCTTTCTTTACTCATCTTTCACTTTGAGAAACTCGGATTGGAATAACTTTAAGAAGCAGTGCAGAATTCAATGAAAGGAGTGAAAGTGCAAGGTACACGGGAGACAAAAAAGAAGTCAGACTGGATGATGGGTGGGAGACCACAGCAAAGAATTTGCTCTCTTTTGAGAGAAGAGGAGGCGGCATCACTGTGTGTGGTGTGAGGTGGGGAGCAGGGAGCTCTGCCCAAAACAGTTTCTTTCCCTCTGATATGTGGACAATTTTCACCATTCCTGGACCAGAGTGTTCTGATCCCAGGACCAAAACTAATAGGACTGGTTGATGTAGAGGAACAAATATATAGATAGCAGTTTCTGCATATGGACAAAAACTCCTAAGGCGTGGAACCCTTCCCATGTTCCTGAGCACCCTCTTCAACCGGACACTGGCTCAGCTGTGCAGAGGGTCAGCAGGGGCAACCTCCATCTGGGAAGGAAGATATCCATCTCCTGGCCACAGGCTCTTCTGCCTGTTCTCTGCTGTTCCCCAGGCAAAGCAGGTGCATGGGGAGTCAGTTGCCCTGAAGCATTCACAGCCCTCTGAGTACAAATTCTGAAGAACTTTTTTGTAATATTGCTATTTTGATGCAGTCACAGTTTCACTGTCAAACTCAAGGCAGGATTATGAAGTGGTTATTTTTTAATTCATTCTTTTATTAGCATGTTCAAGTATAACAACTCCAGGATGCATCTCTTAATAAGAATGAATGGTACTCAAAGGAAATTCACAAATCTAGATTCTGAGACATCCCTCCTCTTGTCACTAGACCACTTTTAAGGGTGGACCAGCAGGAAGATGCAAGAGGAGTTTGTGGCAAAGCTGCTGTTAAATCTTCTTCTTTGAAGGAACCCTGTAGCAGAGCTCTGCAAAACCTTCTTCAAAAACAACACAGCCGCCTCAGGACCAGCCAGGCTGTGAGTAATGGTCTGAGCTTTTATCCCTTGGACTGAATTGAGGGGGTCTGAGTAGTGATAAACATCCCCAGCAATTGTTGAGGCACCGTACTGTTCACAGGCGGCTGGCCCACCTCTCCTAGCCAGCCCCATCCAAACTTTATTACTGTTCTTTGAATCCCTTCCAAGCTTTTTGATGTCCCTGAAGTTAAAAAGCTGGAAATTGCACAGAGTCAGTGTTCCATGCAAAAAGAACTTAAAAATTTCTGGTTCAGAGAAACTTGGGCAAGCCAAATCTCTCTGACTATATTTTTGTTCTTCTCTTGGGATTTGCTTCTGGCATGCTACTGAGCCCATCAATGCTATCATCGTTATCGTCATCATGTTTTATGAATTATGGTAGGTGTAAATATTACTTACTAGGAGGTCAGCACTGTGGCTCAGTGATCTCAACTTCCATCTGCAGTGCAGGCATCTCCTATCACAGTGCCATTTCAAATCCTGGCTGCTCCATTACAATCCAGCAACCTCCCCCTGCCATGTGTGTGGGAGACTTGGATGAAGCCCTGGGCTCCTGGCTTCAGCCCTAGCCAGCCCTGACTACTTCAGTTATTTGGGGGACTGAACCAATAGTTGGAAGAATTCTCTCTCTCTCTCTCTCTCTCACACACACACACACACACACACACACACACTCCATTCTTGACTAGTACCTGATGTTTTCTTCTTTGGTGGCATTTAATATTCTGTATACTCATCTTTGACTCATCACGCCAACCTTCAACTGCCAGCCTTCGAAGGATAGAGCTGTTGTCTTAGGCAGCACATGTTCCCATTCTTTCCAAAACATCTGGGAAACACATAAAGATACTGGATGAGTGAATGAGTCCTTGTTCCTGACCATTCGAACCCGTACCTCAACCTCCAATCCAGCTCCCAACCTGGAGCCTGAAATGGAAAGGAAGTGGGCAGAGGCTTTTGCTTCTTTGTCCTCTAGATAGTACTTAGCTGTCTCACCTAGACAGCCATACTCCAGAGCAATGGATACAGAACACCTAGTGCACACCTTTCTTCCTCTTGGTGACTTTTGGCACAGTTTGTAGCAAATAGAAGTCAAATCTAGACATTTTTTCATCATGTGCTGCAGAGTGGGTCCCTGTAACACACACCTCTTTAATCACTGGGGGTTACAAAGGGTCATATATAGGGGTCATAAAAAAATCCCATGCTTAAGTCTGCTAATGACAACTGATGGGCACTTCATCTGAGCAATATACATCGCAGAAGACCAGAGAGTGCACCCACTGTTTGTGACTGATTCAGCACTCGAATGGTAGCCTGGAAACTAGACTGAGAGTTTCATCAGTGGCATGTGATCCTTATTTGTGGTCGGCTGCCTCATCAATTTTCATTTGGGAGCTGAAATGGACTCTGAGACAGACACAGCATTAATTATGGGGGAAATTGGTCACAATATGTCCAGAGGTAAAGATTGTCTGATGGGAATTTGAGATGGAAGGAAAACCAAATTACAAAAGGATGATTTACTGGAAAAGGCAAATGCATGCAATACCATCCCTACTCAGTAGAGAAAAAGGAGCTGATAAGCCAGCAAGATTGTGGAGTGACTGAAAAGTGAGAAAAAGCCCTATAACTGACTCTCTTGAAAAAGATTTGTTCTTATGCTGAGTGCATTATGCTTCCCCAGAGATAAACAACATTTTTCAGGAGTAGGCTTCAATTAGAAGGAAAGCGAACATTAATAATAGTTGGTAGTGTCCCTAATTTCTTCCAGATTGAAATACATTTTCCTAGGGGTTAGTAGGCAGCATCTAGGGATACCAAAATTAAAATTCATTTTGCCAGCAATAGTATCACTGCTGTGTCAATTTTCTTGTTATAATATTACATCTTCCCCAAAGATCCCACAAATCTTAGGTAATACCCTATTTTTTCTTGTCACTGGATCTTAATCAGGTAAAGCATAGTCATAAAATCATGGTAGATGTGACTATCCTCAATGTAATATGAGAAAAGCACAGGAAGCTCAACGTTGTAGATTCTTTGAAAGTAACATTTTTCAGCATTGAATACAAAACAGAGTCAGTTACCAAGAAAAATATTTAGAGTTCATACTGCTTCTCACTCTCACCTAGAAACAGATCAGTTCTGCACTTTTAAGAATTGGGATCCATTCATCTCTATCCAAGAGTAAGCAGAAGGTGAGGGCCTGTGATGTAACATAGTGGTCAGAGCTGGGACTAGAGCCACGCCCTCTACACTCACACCCTGTCCCTGCCATTTTCTAGATGGATAGCAGTAGCCTTGGTCCGGGTCTCAGTTTTTCCATTTTTATGACTGGATAGTGCTAACATATTTGCCAGGATCTTGAGAGATAAAGTTTGTAAAGACAAAGGTTCAAGAATGGCCTAAAGTGGATCAATCAGAATCTTCTGAACCCTAGGGACACTAAAGGATCTAAAATCAACTCTTAGGATGAGGGCTTATAAGTTTCCATTAGAAGGAGAGCAAGGGAATGCCTCTGTGGGATCAGGGGACAGCTCAGGAGACAAGGGAGCATGGATTTTCAAGTGAGTACTCAGTGGGGCAGTCTGCAGTTCTGGAGCCCAACCAGATCTTCAGGGCCAAGCCTTGGCCATAGTTTGTTGCTAACAATATTTCCATTGTGGGGCGGAGTCCAGGTAAGTCTGCTCAGAGGTGCAGGTGTTTAAATCACTCAGCCAAGTGGCAAGATAGGCAGTAATTCAAAATTGTTGAACTATCAAAACCTCATGAACAGGACACTCAGAGATGCCCTACTGTGAGGACTTTGGGGTGTTGTTGGTTGGCTGCCCTCCATCCCAGGGTGCAGAGGCATTTGGGAAGCTGGATGTGGCTTCTCTCCTTATCTCCTCCTTCCTCCAGATACAGAAAGCAGAAAAAGAGAATGTGGAAATTGTAATCTCACCCACCTTCCTGTAGTCCTTGACCCTAATCACCCTAATCAACTACGTAAAAATCATCAAAAACAAAAAATTAAAAAAACAAAAGGCTAAAAAAGAAGAAACATATTTTCATTGTGTAATCCAATTTTTCATACAACACCTGGAAAATCAATAAGTAATGTTGAATGAGTACCACCATTGTGAACCAAGCTCTGGCATTTCCCCCGTTTGGGGGTTATTAAGTATCCAATAAAACTGGAATTTTTGAGAGAACTGACAAGGAACTACAGAAATGACTCTGATGAATTTCTCAGCAATCAGATAGGCGGACATTCAGAGAAAATTAAATCTGAGAACAAAAAAGGAAAGTAGTTTGTATTTCAATCTCCTATTGTAAACTAAAGCCAGTCCCTGTTAAATCAACCAGGAATCAATTTGGCAGCAAAACCCTGTACATGATGATTTAAAATATGACAAATTGTTCAATTGTGATAGAAGAATTTGGAAGTAAGGGTGCTCTGCCATCCTTAGCAGGCGATTTTGGTCTACTGGGTCACAGATGCCTGCAGGTCCTGAGGCTTTCTTCTTCTAGATAGGAAGAATGAAGAGAGGATGTAGAGAAAGAGGAAATTATGAAAGAAAACACTTCCCAGAAAGTGTCCCTTCATATTTTATTGGCCAGAATTCTGCCACATGTTCATTCTTTTGATATGTGATGATGAAGCTAGAACGTGTAACTGGGCACATTGCCATGCTGAATAAAAGGTTTTTATTGAATAGCCAGACAGAACTGACTTGAAGAGGGCCAGTGTCTTCCACACATATCTTGCCAAACCTACCTTTATCTACATACAAAGTTGTATATATGGCTTAAGGCAAACCACATTTATGAAATATACACGATCATTTTATTTAAAAACATTTAGATTTATGTAACATACCAAACCATTTGATTTAAATGCATTAGGACAACTCTACTTATTAAATTGTTTGCAAAACAACTTAAAAAAATTTTTTTTGAAAGGCAGAGTGGTAGAAAAATTGGTATTCAGGAGGAGGAGAGAGGGACTTTCCTTTGACAAGTTCAATCCCCAAAATGTGCATAAGCATTAGACGTGGACTGAATAAAAGCCAGGAGCCAGGAGCTCTCTTATACAGGAGGAAAGAGTCCATGTATTTACGCTATCATTTGCTGCCTTCCCAGGCACATTACCAGGAAGCTGGAACAGAGGCAGAGTTTCCAGGACTCTACCCACAACCCAACTGGGGATACCAGTGTTACCAGTGGCAGCTCAACATGAAATACTACAAAGCTGGCTCCTACAGAACAAGTTCCATAAATTGTGTTTATAGATATCATTTGATTTTTAAATTTTTAGGTTACAAAAATATCTTTGATTTAAAGGAGTCATGGGTAAGCCAAACCAACATTCATTACATACCTAAGAGCCTGAGACCAGTAGAAATGTCATGTAGTTTTCTTAAGCTTCTACTGCTAGTGGTTGTAGGGAAGAAATTTAACATTTTGTGGTAATGAAAGCCAAATTTTCAAGGTGATATCTACATTTTAGACTTTTGAGTCTTTAAGTGGCTGACTACAAAATTAAATTAGATTCATTTTTAACACATTTGTAAGGATTCAAAAACAAGTATATAAAATTCTGTATCATAAGATATGGAAATAGGTTTCATTTAGAAATGCATCAGGGCAATACATGGGGGAGTATCTTACTCAGTTTAAATTCTATCATGGCTGCATATTAACCACATTGGAGGCAAGCTGTTCACTTTCCTGAGCCTCATTTTCACAATTGAACATTTCAACTAAACTTTTGGGTAAGATTTTTTTTGAAGTGAGTAAATTAAGCTGTGCATGCAAAGCATTTTTCTCAATGCCTACCATGTAATAAGTGTTCAATTAATGCTTCCAACTTCTGTTATTCTCATAATCGACCATTGTTACCCTATTCTCAGAAAATAACCCATTTCAATGTTTCTTGGATTCCACTAAGAGATAAAGAACAAAAATCATAAGAGACTCAGAAAGCAGATGCGGATTCTGAGAAAACAGGCAGTAGCATCAGAAAACAGGTTGTTGATATCTCAGCTAGGCTCAGATTCCTGACCTGGTGGCTCCACTTCTGCTCCAGCTCTTTGCTAAGGACCTAGGAAAGCAGGGGAAGATGTCCAAAGTGCTTGGGCCTCTGCACCCACATGGGAGGCCCAGAAGTTCCAGACTCCTGGCTTCAGATCAGCTCAGCTCGGCCTTTGTAACCATTAAGGGAGTGGACTTGCAGATATACAGTGTGTGTGTGTATGTGTGTGTGTGTGTGTGTGTGTGTGTGTGTGAAGCTGCCTTTTCAATAAAAATGAATCTTGAAAAAAATGTCAGATACTTCTGAAAATTAAGGTAGAAAAAGAAGTTTCTCTTCTATTGCCCCCTCAATAAAAAAATCTTTCGGATTATACATAACTAGACATAGAATAATCTTTTTTAAAAAAGGGTATATACTATACATTAAAAAAGTCAACTAAACATTTGTGAGTGTATCTCTGAATCTAAAAAACCACCAACTGTGTAAACACTACGAGAATAATTCACCTGATGTATTAAATATGGGACATTGGATTTAAGTAGAGAAACATCAGCTTTTTGCTTCTGATGATTCCTCTACAATTGTTTCACTGAGATTGCTTTGAATATATAGTTCATCTTATTGGGTATTAACTTCTTTAGTTTATGGCATTGCCATCTCCAAGTATATTGCATACTGTTTCATTTTCCTAAGTCATCATTTTTAGGTACCTTAAGGGATTTGTAAAGTTTTTTTTTCCTCTAGACATTGCACATTTCTACTTGAGTTTATCCAAGGAAAATTATCTTATTAATATTGAAAACAGAGTC